AATTATGACAAACATTGTAAACTATTGAATATTCACTGTATATGATGTTTTCTAATATCTTTTGAATGGTCCGAGTCTCACCAGTGTGTGCACCAATGTCATATAAACACAAAACAAATGAACCCAGAGCCTCTTCACAGTGAACAGCAGCTGCATTTCTCTCATTCAGTCCCATTCAGTCGTCTGCGGCTGTCGACAAAGGCCAATTGTGTTGATTCTGATGATATGTACGCACTTGACTCTGTCCTTGTGAAGAGTGGGACGAGTGGTGGCTTTTCATCAGAGCTCTGCTTCTACAGAATAAACAGCAAATGAAGCGAGTTATAGAAGCAGCCGGAGCACTTAAAGCAATGCACAAGATGAGCTTTTAGCTATTCCCATCCACTATAGAACTATAATCCTGCTGTTTCTGTACTCGTAAAGGAGCCCTGTGAAGGATGTTACGGGTCTCTGCTTTAATGTTATTGTATCATTATTTGATAGGCCGTGAGGTTATTTCTAATGACATATTTGTTTTGTTTTTTTGTTTCTTGTTTGGCTCATTTACCTTTTCACATATAGCATCAGTTTAATATAGCCCTCTTATGGTCATTCGGACCCTGCTTCACATGGCACGTGGGATGAATAAAGGATTTCTTCATCTTAATGGTAATATCTAGAAGATCAAGTGCAAAGTCTTTCTAATCTTCTCACATTGTTTTTGACCAATAGGTGAAAAGCAAACCAAACACCATTTCCAGCCACACTAATGTGCCACGGACCACTGGTTGAAAATCACAGAGAAGCACTAATAACTCATTTAAATGGTCAGCAACAGAATTTCCATCAGCGGAATATCCATCCGTTATTGTCTCAGCTCAGGACGGAACAGGTCAGACGGCTGCTTATATTAAACTGAGATCATAAATTAAAAGTTATCGTCTGAGCTTGAAAATATGAATAAAACATGTGTCTCATTCAGCGTAGAGCACTTCTTCAAGTATTTGATCCCGATGACCTGCATGCATTAGCGGGAGGTTCTGAAACGTTATCAACTCTTGACGCAGCAGAAATGTTTTAAGTCTTTAGCTCATGAATCAACAGCAGAACACCAGAGCGTCCAGGAGAGTGGCGGCCGATTTTACATATACCACATTTATTTCTTGTTTATTATCAATGAATTAAAAGTCAAAGGACACATTTCACGCTAAAGCCTTGTTTTGGAGCTTTTAACCCTTGAGTTTTTTATTTTAATCCATACACGTTAATATCAGGAACTTCTGGCTCAAACATGCAACTCCGCCCCCTTCTGTTTAAAGCTTATAGAGTTCATGAGATCCCACTCATTCCCACTCAGAAAACAAGTCGGAAATTCAACTCAGAAACTCGGGCTGGGTCAAGGGTTCCTGAGACTCAGAGTTTGCGTCATGTGAGTAATTTTGTGAAGTAGTTTGGTAGATTATGTACTAGATATCTCAGAGTTTCAGAGATTGTATGAAGCCGGCATCAGTCCTGTATGATGTCATTTTACCATTATGGCCTCACACTTAAAGCAGTTTTCTAACTTATAAAACAAAGTATTTCCCATAGATTTGTGTTTACGGTGCAAGGACGTTCTTTACTATTACATGTTTGTAGCTGATAATTTATAAATATGGGGGAAAAAAACAGTGGCTCAGTTGGTAGAGCATTGACCCCTGAACCTGAAGGTCATGGGTTCGAGCCCACCACGAGACCTTCAACACCGGTTCCCACTGATGTCTGCTGTCCTTGTGTCCTTGGGCGAGACACAAACCACACTTTGCCTGAATCCAATCCAATCCAATCCACTTTATTTATATAGCACATTTCATAAACACAGTTTCCAAAGTGCTGCACAATAAAATACCAAAAATAAATCCATAGTAAGACAGTTAATAATAAAAAATCAAATTTGAAAAACCGTGTGTGCATATGTATAAACACAAAAATAACAATAATAAGATGAAATAAAATAAAAGGACCATACAACTCACGTAGTGTTAAAAGCCAGAGCATAAAAATGGGTCTTAAGACGAGACTTAAAACACTCCACTGAAGGAGCTGTTTTGACGTGGGGGGGCAGAGCGTTCCACAGCTTTGGTCCAGCCACAGAGAAGGCCCTGTCCCCCCGGGTTTTAAGTCTGGTCTCAGGCACCACGAGCTGGAGCTGGCCCTCGGACCTCAGCGCGCGGGGCGGGTGGTAAATTTGGATGAGGTCCGAGATGTAGGGAGGGGCCAGTCCATTCAAACCTTTAAAAACAAACAATAAAATCTTAAAATTGATTCTAAAATGAACAGGAAGCCAGTGCAACGAAGCCAGAATTGGTGTAATGTGATCGCGCCTTCTGCTTCCTGTTAAAAGTCGTGCCGCTGAGTTTTGGACCAACTGCAAACGGGAAAGTGCGTTTTGGGGGATGCCCGCATAAAGTGCATTGCAATAGTCCAGGCGTGACGAAATAAAAGCGTGCATGACCTGCTCAAAAAGATTAAAAGATAAAAAAGGTTTGACTTTAGATAAAAGCCGCAAATGATAAAAGCTTGATTTTAAAACGCGATTAATCTGCTTATCAAGTTTAAAATCACTGTCTAAGATGACGCCAAGGTTGGTGACTGTGGGGCGCACATAGTCCTTTAAGGGCCCCAGGTCAATGAGGGGGGGACTAGGGCCAAATAAAATAACCTCTGTCTTATTTTCATTGAGTTTAAGAAAGTTTTGAGCCAACCAATCCTTGACGTCACTCAGACAGTTGAGTAGAGGCGTCAGGGGGCTGTGATCATTTTTTAACAAAGGCATGTAAATCTGACAATCGTCAGCATAAAAGTGATAAGACATTCCATGTTTTTTAAAAATGTCACCAAGTGGGAGGAGGTACAGGGCAAAAAGCAAAGGGCCAAGAATTGAGCCCTGGGGAACTCCACAGTGCAAAGGGGCAGAGGTGGATGTGGAGTCCCTCAGCCTGACAGTGAAGGACCGCCCTGACAGGTATGACCTAAACCAGTCCAGGGCGGTCCCCCTGACACCCACACAGTATTTAAGACGATTTAAAAGAGTTGCATGGTCCACAGTGTCAAACGCAGCAGTCAAGTCTAAAAGCACTAAAACAGCAGAATTTCCAGAATCTGCCAATAAAAGCAGGTCGTTAAAAACCTTTAAAAGTGCAGACTCAGTGCTGTGCAAAGCTTTGTACCCAGACTGGAAAGGGTCTAAAGTGCAATTTTCATTTAAAAAAGGTTGCAACTGGGAAATTACGCTTTTTTCTAAAATCTTAGAAACAAAGGGGAGTTTTGAAATAGGACGATAATTTGATAAGATTGAAGGCTCGAGTCCAGGTTTCTTAACTAATGGCTCTACTACAGCTGATTTACAAAAGGAAGGGACAACCCCAGAACACAGACTCGTATTTATTATCTCCTGAACAAAAGGTCCAATAGTTGTCCAGACCTCTTTAAAGAAGCGAGGTGGAACTGGGTCTGTGGGACTGGATGAAGGTTTTAGCTTGTCAACGATCCCTGTGATGACAGACAATGACACAGGCTCAAAGTGACTAAAAACAGAAGAGCACTGTGTGATTAGAGCATTGTTCAAAGAAGAAACAAAAGCCACCATGTTTACTCTAATATTCTCAACCTTAGTGGTAAAATAGACAAGGAACTTCTCACACATTTCACTCGTCATTTCCAAAGTAGTGGAAGGACTGGGGTTACAAACTAAACCAATGGTTTTAAAAAGAATTCGAGGTTTGTTTATATTTTCTACAACAAGATTAGACAAATACCTCGTTTTTTCCTTAAAAACAGTGCTTTGATAAGTACTCCAACTGTCTTTATACATTTGGTGAGAAATCTCCAAATGGTCAGTTTTCCACCTGCGCTCAGCTCTACGACACTCACGCCTCGCAGTGCGTGTGACCTCGTTAAGCCATGGCTCCTGTTTAGGTTTAGGACGCACAGCTCTTAATGGAGCGACATTGTTCAAAACACTACAACAGGTGGATATAAATGACTCCATCAATTCCTCAGAGTCCATGGAGAGGTTTCTAAAAGACTGTGAATCTACTGCTGCATTGAATGCAGTTGAAAAGGTCTCTACAGTTGCTGGCTTGATAGAGCGGCTATGATACATAGGACATATCGGTCCCATCTCATTTTGCAACATTAGCCCAAAAAGAACAGGACTGTGGTCAGAAAATACCGCATCCCCAACAGATATATCGACCACAGGAAAACCATAGGACAGCACAAGGTCTAACGTATGGCCATGTATTTGCGTGGGGCCACTCACATGCTGAGTCAAATTAAAAACATCAACCAAATCTAAAAACTCTTGGGCCAAGGGCTTTGAAGGACAGCATACATGCACATTAAAATCCCCAACCAGCAACATCTTGTCATAACGTGTTGACATAAGAGCCATAAAATCAGAGAAGTCCTTGATGAAGTTTTTGTTGTATTTTGGTGGTCTGTACACAACAGCACACAACACAGGCTCAGTCTGACGCAGCTCAAAACAGCTCAGTTCAAACGAAGAAACAGGCTCCGGGGATAAAATCTTGTGGTAGAGAGAGTTCTTTAACACAGTAGCTATGCCACCACCACGACCGGTGGCTCTTGGCACATTAATAAATGTACACTCGGGGGGTAAAAGCTCGGAGAAGGCAGCTGACTCACCGCTGTTGACCCACGTCTCAACCAGAAACAGTAAATCCAATGACTGCGACGTAAAAAAGTCTTGCAGAATAAATGTCTTGTTCACAATTGATCTTGCGTTCAGGAGTGCGCATTTCACAACAGCCGTAGACCCGCAAGCCGCGGGATCTGCCCGGCTCAGTGAGCGCAGGTTTCCTGGAGTAACACCGCCAGTACCCCGGGTAGAACGAGGGCGCAGCGCACAGACATCCTCCTCCTGCTGTCCAAAAACGGGAACCAACCAGGAGCCGATGGACACAAGCTTGCGTCTGGACACGTAACGCTGAAGGCTGCTGCCATAGTCTGCTGGGACTATGTGGGATTTCACGGAGCCCGGAGAACACGCCAGCCAGGCCTTTAGCTTTACAAGCCGGCCGGCTCGCACTCCACGGCGGCGTTTACGCTTCCTCGGCAGGGGCGCATTCACGCACCGGAGACACTCGGGCAAATCCGCCAGGTAGAATGAATCCGACTGGTTTGCATCATGAATTGTGCAGGTATTCACTCTTAATCTTATATTTAGCAGCTCATGGCGATTGTACACAATCAATGAGTCTATGGTCCTCGTGAAATGTGTTAAAAAACTGGGGGGGGTGGGGGGGGGGTCCGCCTTGGGGGGGGTTGGGACGGTTGGGGGTGGGGTGGGGGTGGTGGGTGGGTATAGCCGTCCAGGGGGGGGGTAGGGAACCCTGGGTGGGGGGGGGGGGTGGGGGGGGGGGGGAATAGGGGGGTTGGGGGGGGGGGGGTTGGCGGGGGGGGGAACGGGACTGGGGGTCGGGCGGGGGGGGGGGTGGTTCTACGGGTGTACGGGGGATAGTGGTCTGGGGGTTGGGACCGAGGGGGTGAGGGTTATGGGGGGGGGGCCCCCTGATACCCCCCATCGGGTGGGTTTAGGGTGGGGGGGGAGTGGGTGTGTGTATTTGTGTTGGGGGGGGGGGGGGGCGGCAAGCGGACCCTAGGGCGTTTCCCGGGTCCGGGAGCGACCCCCCGGAAGGGGGGGGGGCGGTCCCCCCCCCCACACAACCTGGTTCACTTCAGCTTGGGGGGGGGGGGGGGGGTGGGGTGTGGGGCGTCCAGTAGGCGGGCGACCCAAGCCGGGATCTCCTCGTGTGGTGTGGTGTGTGGGGTGTGGGGGGGGGGGGGCTGGGGGGGGACCTCCCCCCGCGGGGGTGGGTCGGGGGAGGGGGGGGGTGGATATCTTGTGTGTTGTGTGGTGGGCACTCATTAGCCTGTGGTTGAGTGTCACAGTTCGCGCGGGGGGAGGTGCTGGGAGGGGGTCTGTGGGGGGGTGGTGGGGGGACCTCAAGATGGCCCACACTTCATTCCCCAAACCACACACCCCCCCCTCACACCACCCCCCACCCCTACCTCAACACACTACACTTGTGTTACCCTCCCCGGGAGGGGGCGAGGGGGTGGCCGGGGGTCGGGGGGGGGGGGGGGGGGGGGGGGGTTCGGGCCGGGGGGTTGGGGGTGTACATGTCCGGTGGGGGGGGGGGGGGGGGACGGGGGGGGGGGGTCGGGGGGTAAACCCCGTGGGGGGTACCACCGTGGGGGGGGGGGGTATTACATGGGGGATCTGCGTAAGACGCCCGGGGGGTGGGGGGTTGGCGCCGGTTTTGGTGTTTGGGGGGGTGGGGGGGGGGGCCTACCTATGGGGGGGGGGGGTTTCTTATCATCGGTTCAGAGTATTGGGGTTGTGGTGTGTGTGTGGGGGTTCCCTGCTAGCAAGTGGGGGGGTTAGCTGGGGGGGCGGGTATGCGCACGGGGGGGGGGTGGGTTGAAGTTTTTTTTATTTTTTATTTTTTTTTTTTTTTTTTGTTTTGTTTTGTGTTTGTTTTTGCGTGTTTATACACCTACACAACAAACATCACTCCCCCCCCCCCCTCCCCCCCCCACCCAAACCCCCCCTCCCCCCCCCCCCCCCCAAACCCTTGTGTTTGTGTCGCCTGCCTCCTTTGGGCCCAAGGGGTGGGGGGGGGGGGGGGGGGTATAAATACAGGGGGTGGTACACGTGGGTGTGGTGGTGTGGGGGCTGGGGAGTCCCTTGGGTCCTCCGCGCCGGGGGGGGGGTCAGCCCGGGGTCGGGGGGGGGTCTTGGGGGGGAGGCTCCGGGGCGGGGGGGAGGGTCCGGGGGGGGAATTCGGGGATCATAACTCAAGCTCTAAGACGTCTGGGGGGGTTGTCCACCGGTGTCGGGGGTCGGGGGGGGGTTCCAGCCTGGACCCAGGGGGTCTCCACCCCGAAATCCAAAGGGCAAGGGGGGGGGGGGGGGGGGGGGGGGGAAGGTGGGTTGGGGGAAGCCTCGGGGGGGGGGGGACTACCGACCAGTGGGGGGTCGTGGGGTGGGGTCATGGTCAGGGGGGGGGGTCCCTGTAGGGGGTATCTAGTTATTATTATTATGTGTAATATTTGATAAATTGTTTGACAAAAAAGTGAGAAATAAAGTCAAATCCATTATAACCAGTCTAGATTAAACACAAGCACAAGCATTACATACTGTACTAACAGCACTAATCACAAAAAATGTGTTTTTATGGCACAGATCCATCCATCTCCATTTTCTCAACAAAAATCAACCAAATGCTGCTCATACAGTTAGGAACAGAAGCTACACGTATGCAGTGGTTACAACATGGCGTGATAATAAAAAAGGAATGCACAAAGCTATAGTTGGAGAGCAAACAGAAATCAAAGACACTAATAAAAAAAGCTGACAAACCGGTGTCCAATCATACTGTCACAAATAATAAGACCTGCTTTTTGATTTACAACCAAAGAGTAATTTTGACAACAGTAAATGTACGCTGTATTATTTATATGACTAATACAATATGAATGTGTGTGTAATTAGATGTTTAATATTAAATCAAAATCATGTATTTCAACAATCTCATCACCACTTTAGGCAACAGTCCAAAGGGGATTTTATGGACTACGGTAATATTGTCGCGTAAAAGTCATTTTTCATATCGTTTTTTAGCTACTGCTCAATCAGAGGCGCACAAAAGACGTAACACCTGTCGTACAACATCCTCTTGCCTCGAGCTTTCCTCTTCTATAAATACAGAGACAGCCTGCTCCCGACCAAACGGCGCCCATTTCTGCTGCAGGTAAGTCCTCTGCTCTTCACACCGTCGCTCAAAGTTTATGTCCTTATTTGCGTTTGTAATAATCAATATCCCTTCATCTCTCTTCAGAATTGTAACGTTTTTTGACCGCATCAGAACAAAATGAGTGACAGCGAGAAGAAAGAGGAGAAGCAGGAAGAGAAGAAAGAAGAAAAGGTATACTGTGCATGGAAGCTTTTTTTTATGATATTCTTGTTTAGATACCAAATACAAATGAGAGTTTTTAGGTTAAGGAAGCCACAGTCTGTGAACGAAGCTGAAGCATACGTTGAAAACACAGGTCTATGGTGACATGACACTAAGGAAGCTCAGAATTCAAGACCGCAAACATTTCTTTACAGATTTTTCCCGCGTCAGGATTATTTTTTTAACACGTTTTGTCGTAAATAATCTAACTGGGTTTCCCTCCCGCACAAACCAGTGTGTATAGTGGATGGAAGCTAAGACTCTGTTTAGATATAAAAAGAAGGTTTAATGCATATAAGCAGAATACAGACAAATTACAGACAAACCTAGCCCTGGTCCCGCTAAGATGGAAAAGCAGAAAGATCCCGACCACACAAAGCAGCGAGCCCTTATAGAAATTAGGAGACACAACCATCACCGGACATTCATATGCACCTCATGATATCGTATTTAAGTCTCATGATGAAGAAGTTGTTCACACATATAAGGTCTCTATTGTTTTACCAGATGTCCTCTCTGTGTCACGACTTAGAGAGAGTGGTCAAACATTCTATACATATGAAGACCCATAAATGTACGTAGCAGACACCGCAGTTCAATTGTTATACATGTGGTGGAGACCCTGCCATCTTGGATTTGAATGTAAATATATATCAAATGCATTTCCAACTGCTGCCACAATATTCTCATCTCTCACCTCATTGTTGGAGTAAGTAAAAGTATCCATCCAACTAGACTCTCAGAAGCCTCTTTCAAAAGATTCATTTTTTTTATTTTTTCAGTCCATGTTCATGTATTGATTCATTTCGAGCAGATCACATGAAAAAATAATAACAAATGTAACAGCTGTGCATAAGGAATTTGAAAAGATTTGGCTCGAAAAAGAGTGGGAAGAAGAAAACGTATTGAATCCCACCCTATTGTCCAAATTTTCTACACTTTCTTAACTCTGCTCATCTCCCATAATGCACCATCCCCAGAGTCGAATAGAAATGTCAATAGGACCACTCTTGCTCAGCCTGACTCAACTTTCTCCAAAATCCGAAATATAATAACAATTTGTGCACAAAATCATCATGTGGAGCAGATTATGAACCCCAGCTCTAAGAACGTGTTTTTTTCCATATTTCTAGTCCGTGCTACGCCATTTTTACGTGAATTTCTAAACACCACTTATTATACTGTGTCCTTTAAATGCAACTGGTTTTCTGAAGTGGTTGTTTCCTGTTGTAGAAAGAAGAGAAGAAGAAGGAGGAGTCTGAAGGATCCGGATCAGAAGACAGCGGCTCAGAAGTAAACTTTTATTTGAATTTCTAATCAGCGATTCCCGGCACTGTTTTGCAATAACGTGTTTTGTTTTCAGTCGGGATCCGGAGGAGAAGGAGGTGGCAAAGGCAAAGGCAGAGGAAAGGGAAAAGGCAAAGGACATAAAAAGGATAAAGGAAAAGTATGTGCACCATTTGACACACATTATTATCAAAAAACATTGTCGTCTTCTTGTTCTTGTTTTCATCTTTCTGTTGTTTGGTCGTTTAGGGGAAAGAGAAGAGTAAAGGAAAAGGAAAGTGAAGCAGCGCTCATGTCTCTCTGTAGAAAATACTGACTGTCAATAAATGATTATTCAAACTGCATGTTCTGCTGGGTTTTTATTAAAATGTCAATAAAAAAACTGCTGCATAATGAATAATATGCAAGTTGTTTTTAGTAATAATCAATTCAATATGCAAAGACAGGAGTAAGTAAGAAAGTAATGTTAATTTACTGTATATAGCGCATTTTACAGACCAAGGTACAGACCCAAAGCGCTTTACAATGTTCAGAGTCAGATATTGTTCCAATCATTCCACAATGGGGCTATCCTTATCCTGATAGACCTGACATTGGATCATGATCATCACCAATGTCCTGCATCAGCAAGAAAAACAGAAAAATCACTGCATTCTCAGGGGAGTCTCCAGCCTGCCTTTGCAAACGTCTATATCCCGTCACGGCAAGGCTAACACTGTCGAACAAAAATGCCATATAGTACACTCCTAATGGATGGTCTTGGTTCTTTTATGCACGGATTGAGACATCATACATCAGTAATATTGGTTTTGAATACAAGTCATTTTAACAATCTAAAATGCATGTATATTGTCCACACTTACAGGTTACAATGTCATATCCTTGTTGTAATATCTTGATCCTTGAACTAAAACCATCAAATTAAATAGTATGTTCTATATGATGAATATCCCACATAGTATAACTAAATCCTCCATCACAGTATAACGAGTCAGGCCCAGGGGATTAGTGTTGTTTTAAGCCAGAGGTGTCAAACCGGTTCCAGAAAGAGCTGGTGTGGCTGCAGGTTTCCGCTCTGGCTCCCGCTCTGGCTCCCGCTCTGGCTCCTGCCCTGACTCCCGCTCTGACTCCCGCTCTGGCTCCTGCCCTGGCTCCCGCTCTGACTCCTGCCCTGATTCCCGCTCAGGCTGCCGCTCTGGCTCCGCCTACGCCCCATTCACACCATACTCTAGCCACCACCAGTGCTTGACCCCAGGGATCTGAGATCATCTTCATCTGCAATCGATCTCATCGCTGGGGTCAATGCGCCAAATAAATACATCATTTTAATGTATATGAATTGTCTGTCTTTGGTCTCTTCAGATTGAATTGTATACAGAAATGATTATGTATTTTGAATGTGTTATTATAGTAGGAGTTGGAGTGGGATTTGAGGGAGCAAACCTGTCCTGTGTGTGTTCAATGTCCATCCATCCATCCATTTTCTACCCTTTAATCCATTTCTGGGTCAGGGGGGTGGCAGTCAGAGATGCCACCCAAGTCTCATAGCATCAGCCCCTCACTGACCCTCTGCAGGTGGTGAGTCCACAGGAGGACGGCTGCTCTCTGAGTGTGAGCATAGCCTTGATCTTTCAGCGGGGGCTTTGGGCAAAGTGGGGTTAAGTGTCTTGCCCAAGGACACAACGACAGCAGTCATCAGTGGGAGTCGGTGGAGAAGGTGTAGAGGTGGGAAATGAACCCACGACCTTCAGGCCTGAAGGCCAATGCTCTACCAACTGAGCTACTGTCGCCCTCAGTGTTCAATGTATAAATGTTTATTATTGTGCTGTATTATATATGTATTGTGTTTGTTTTATGTTCATGGGACCCTCTCGAAAAATGAGATGCTGCATCTCAAGTGATTTTCCCTAAATAAATCAAATCAAATCAAAACATCAGACCTCATCCATTTCCTCCAATCTAACCCTAACCCTGGTTAAAACTTGGCCATAGATCTATAATATCTGGATGGGGTATTACTAGCTTATAGCTGTCCCACCCACGGGCACAGGGGGCGCCTGTGGTACTGCAGATACAATTCTTGCGGGCTACCCAGAAAAAAAGTCCCATAGAACTCAATGTAAACTAAAATACAGTAGCTCAACCTACAGTTAACAAAAAGGAGGATTTTGTGGAGTCTGGTGAGATCCTGCTCGGGCTGGAACCAAAAGCTGCAGCCACACCCGCTCTTTAAGGACCGGTTTGACTCCCCTGTTTTAAGCAGTCGTGTGAGAGGCAGGACGCTTTCATGACTGACACTTCATTAGCCCATTAGTTCTGTTTTTCTTCATATCTTGTGTTTTTTTAACCCTTTAAGGCCCTGTCCACACGAAGTCAAGCTCAGGCCTAAACGCAAATATACTTTATCAATCCAGTGTATCGTCCATACGAGGCCGGCGTTTTGGGGGGGTGTAAACGAACATTTTTGAAACTAGGTCCCAGAGTGGAAAGATTTCTAAACTCCGTATATGCCGCTCCGTGGTTACTGCCTCTCCGCAATGTATCTGAGACGTTTGCGTCATCGCCCCGCCTCTTGTTAAAGCACGCATGCGCCGCACTCAGAAAATAATGACACTTTCTTGTAGCTTGTTGGTTTTGTAATCCAGTGCGACCCGAAGCAACAGTTCAACCTCATCGTCCGTCCATACTAATGTAGTACCAGCTCGCCCACTCGCCATGTTGTCTGTTTACAAAATTCTGCGCATGCCCAGTTCCCGTCACGGAAGTTTGGGCTTGATCCCGTCATTGCGTCACAGCGCCACCAACAGGTCTGGCATAGTTTCACAGCGTTTTCAGGCGTATTGACTACATTCATATGGACGCACACATTTACTGAGCTAACTCCGTGTTTACAGAAAAAGTTTCTGAAATTATAAGCGTTTTGTCTTCGTCATTGGGGGGGGGATTTTCTAGGCTGTAGGAGCACTAATAACACAAATAATTATTTTTTTCCGTTTGTTTTGTATTAATCAAAGCAAAAAAAGTAGATACAGTGACTCAAAAGGAGATCTACCAAATATTTGAGGAAACCATTACCAGAGCAAGACCAGGGCCTTTCTGAGTGGAGTTTGCATGTTCTTCCCATGTCTGCGTAGGTTTCCTCCGGGTACTCCAGTTTCCCCTACCACTAAAAATATGTACAATAGTTCTGGCATGCACCTCCTGTTCGGCGATCCCGCTCCCATCTCTGTGTGGAGTGAGAGGACAAATGCCCCAAAAAAATAAAAATAACAATTGTAAACCGCTTTGTGACTCTGGTCTGTGAAATAAAGATTACTTTCTATGAGGAGCACACAACATAATTAAATATTAGGTAGACCAAAACTCTATACTTGAAAAATATAACTACATCTTTATTAGCTACATAGGAAAAAAATATTGATCAATTGTAATTATGCATTCCTGTCATATTGATTTACGTCAGGTTGGAAACTACAAAACTGACTTTAAAACATAATTCAGGGACAGCAGATGAAAAATAGCCAATTGTTGACCTTTTAAAAGTTTAAAACCAACAGGAAATTGAATCATAAAAGCTCCACCAATCACCACGCAGCAGCCGAGTCCGTCACAATGAAAATAAATCAGGTCATTTTCTAATTTGACTTTAATTGTATGCAATAAAAAGTGGCCCTGACAGTGTGATTCAATAAAGATAAAGTATATTTCTAAAGCATCGAGTTGTTATACCTAATATCCACCTTTTTAATACTGTTATTACCCATGATGCAACACTGAAATGTCCCCTCTCTGGAACTAAAGAACTAAAGAGTCTCATTCTTGAATTGCATCTGATCTGTTTAGCCAATAGCTTCAAAACAAAAACATTTTCAGTGTAAAATTAGGTTTTTTTCATCATGTTTTTCATGCATACAACCAATTTTAGGAACTAATAAAAAATAATGGAATAATAAAAGCTTCACCAATCCTCATGCAGCAGTCATTTTCTAATCTGACTTTAATCGTATGCCATAAAACTGACCATGACCCTGTAAGTAATGTTTATTTATATAGCGCATTTTACAGGCCAAGGTCACCCAAAGCAATCAACACCCTCCATTCACTCTCTCATTTACATTCATACCTATTGTACATGTTTTTAGTGGTAGGGGAAACCGGAGCACCCAGAGGAAACCTACGCAGACATGGGGAGAACATGCAAACTCCACTCAGAAAGGCCCTGTTCCAACCGGGATTCGAACCCAGGACCTTCTTGCTGAGAGGCGAGAGTGCTATCCAGCCATGTGATTCACAGACGTCAGTGAAAGACTTATGGCATCATTAAAAACCCAAACAATGGTTGAGTCAGTTGCTCTAGATAGAACTACGCCTAGTTGTTGTGACATCCACAGTTCTGTGAGGCACATTGTGAAGCTGAAGACAGGAGCATAACCGCACCTTAACTCACCTGTCTGTCTGCACACGTGGCTCGTTGCCAGATATGCAATAGCGTGCGAGATCTAAACACGCCCAGATGTCTGCAGGGCCTTATAAGAGCAGGGAGCAGCCATGTCTGAGCATTGCTGATATCCTTCACTAAGAATCAGGTAATCATGGGATGACACATTCGGCAATGCGTGTGGATCTTGGGACATTTGAATTTTTAATGCTTGTATTTTTTCACAGACTTCATAAGCTTTGTACTCAACTCAAACTAAAAACAAGATGAGTGGAAGTAAGTATTATTCCTTTTTAATATTGTGTGTAATTTAGTTTTCGAAATGGACAAAACCTGACTGTTTTTTTCTTGCCTCTTCCCACCATACAGAAGTAAGTGCTATTTTTTTTTTTTTTTTTTTTATTCTTTGACATTGATGTGAAACTCATTGCTTTGTTATTTATAGGGCGAGAAGGGTAAGAGCGAAGAGCATAAGAAAGGGCCAAAGGGAGAGGAGGTAAGATCTTTTTTTTCAGTCAATGTTGCGTAAATACCTCTGTGTGGTGCTAATGTGATGTCACTGTCTCACAGGAGGAGGGATGCGAGCACGGCCAGGTTGGAATCATTCGGATTGAGACGTCAGCGTACATGCATTATCATTTAACTGTGAAATTGTGTGTTTGTTAGCAGGGAAACCGTGGAAAAAGTGAAGAGATGAAGGGCAAGGGCCAAGGCGCAGGCCAAGGCAAGGACAAGGGGAAGGGCCATAACAAAGACTAATTTTATCCGTCCAGTCTCTCTATATGTGAACATTTGCTACTGACTTGTAATGTTTCCAATTTAAATAAAAATGTCTTGACATACCATGCTCTGTGTTTTAGTTTTTAATAATGAACTAGTAAACCTATTTTTTTTCATCATAAGTACTGACAATAAAATGCAGTGCAATTGTATTTACTCGTTCTGAAGGTGGCCGCATGTGCAGAGATAAACTTCTTGCTCATTTTTTGCCAATTTAAACTTGCCAAGAAAGATACAGTAGTTCCAAACATGATTTAGAAAAGGCCGTTCACTCGTTCAGTCTCAGGGTCCAGGTTAATATCGTCAAAGCTGCTGAGATTAACACATATTTTAAAGAACTCCTAGAGGCCTACGTCACTCACATTTCCCGTTCAAATCTCCCTCTAAATGGGCGTAGCCTGGAGGGCTAAAGGGGACAGGCGGGGGGTGAATGTTGGGCGGGTCTAGGCTTGGACACTTGACAATAAAAGCAATAGTGACTAAAACTACAATATTCAACAACAACGCTATTAACACTACACAATTATCTATCAAACAGCTATGCTAATAAAAACCTACCTAAATGCTATAACTAATCGCAAACCTGACAATCGATGAAAATACTCTCTGCTATTCCTTCCTTCCTTCGCTGGGGGGCGTGAACGAGACTGGGACGAGACAGGGCAACTGACGTCAGCCTTCACTGCAGACGTCAAGTATCACTGCAGACCAGTGATGGGAATAACGGCGTTACTTTTTTCAGTAACGAGTAATCTAACTAATTACTTTGACAGTAACTATAACGCCGTTATCATTTCCGACATCCCGTTACTGCGCGTTACTCAAGACGCACAATGAACGTGTTGTCATGAGAGAAGGGAGGATGAGAAAACCTCTCAGCAATTATTGGCTGATGTAAATCATATTTCCTTTACAATCTACATGTCTACAGTTGAGAGGATGGCTCATAAATTGTGTTTTTGAAAGAAATATGGGTCTTAATCGCGCTCAACCACGGCTTGTATCACCGTGAGGCCAGCCTCAGAGGAGCGCATGTGAGCGCAGAAGTCGGCTGCATACAATTCCATCGATAAGCTCCTTGCTCTTCCTGGTTTATCTGCTAAGGACAGCAACAGGTTTGGCTAACATACATATAACACATTTTTACATAATTTAAAATGCACATAGGGTAATTTTTCAATTACTATAGGAATGATAAGAAAGAGAGGTGAAGTGTAAGACGGTTGATTTTAGAAATTGGATGCAGCCGGCTGCAGCAAAACAGAGGAGTTTACGGAGGACACACGCGTTTTGTTTTACTTTTTAAAACTCATTGGACTCATTTCCAAACGGAGGATTACATATCTACGCTCAAACCATTCACTGGATTTAAACAAGGAACTGGTCTGAACCGAAGTGGTCTGTGCAGGTCATTTATAAGGTATAGCTATAAGGTAAGACCCATAACTCATAGTTTTGCGTTTTGTATGAACAAACAATGCGGGCATAAAACATATTTTGCTGTAGCCAAACAAATTGTCCACTTGATTTATATGATGTATATGTTCATCTGATTGGACTGAAGTCAGTGCTTCACCAGCCTCACCGCTCGTCACCGGTGTTTAGTGCTTTACAGCACAGAGAGAGATGAAGAGTGAACAGGACTTCAGCAGCAAAACAGCCTTTTCTAGATGGAAATATTGGCACTATTAAAGGTAAAAATGCGCACGTCGGGTGCACATTATGTTCCAGAACAAAACGAAAAAGTAACGCAATAGTTACTTTTACTGGTAACTAGTTACTTTTATAGTGGAGTAACTCCGTTAGTAACTCAGTTACTTTTTGGGAGAAGTAACTAGTAACTATAACTAATTACTTTTTCAAAGTAACGTGCCCAACACTGCTGCAGACGTCAAGTATCACTGCAGGTATCACTGCAGACGTCAGGTATCACTGCAGACGTTAAGTATCACTGCCGACGTCAGGTATCACTGCAGGTATCACTGCAGACGTCAGGTATCACTGCAGACGTCAAGTATCACTGCAGGTATCACTGCAGACGTCAGGTATCACTGCAGAAGTCAGGTGTCACTGCCGACGTCAGGTATCACTGCAGACGTCAGGTATCACTGCAGACGTCAGGTATCACTGCAGACGTCAAGTATCACTGCAGGTATCACTGCAGACGTCAGGTATCACTGCAGAAGTCAGGTGTCACTGCAGACGTCAAGTATCACTGCAGACGTCAGGTATCACCGCAGACGTCAGGTATCACTGCAGACGTCAGGTATCACTGCAGACGTTAAGTATCACGGCTGCGCTAATGTTGGCGCCAGATTCAAAATTCAAATGTAGTAAATACAGGTCGCCTGCAGATGGCGCCTCACTGACGGTTTTAGGCAGAAAGTTGATCTTTCAACTAATTTGACAGTGACAAAATGACCAGGATATGTACACAACACTATTGGACCTTCATTTATACCGTTTATCAGCAAAAAAGGTGGATTTGAGGGTGAGTTGTCCTTTAAGGCTATAAGGCTAAACGTGTGTGTGTGAGTCTGTATCAGAGAGTGTTTTGTATTGAGATGGTATTTCTATTGTATTGTATATTACTGTATCCTTCATGTATTTTATTTATGTAAGGGACTGCAGACGGACACTAGCTGTTTAGTTATAATGTGGTGCAGAACATGTCTGTGCATTGTCCCTTCACATAAAGACTAAATAAATAAATATGAAAATGGTCTATATAGTATTGCTTAAGGCTGGAGTACCAAACTTTTATCAATAATGCATGTTTGTTCTTGTAATGTCTTGTAATGTCTTGTTAAAGTAAGATAACAAACAGATAGAGCCTAGTTGACTCTTTGGGCTGAGAGCTGATTGGTTGAGAGTGGTCGAGTCTCTCTTCTTCAAACCTTTGTGTCTGAAAAAGCTGATCTACAGTAAATCCATGACAGAGGCCAAACCATTATGAGAGACAGGAACTTTAGTTGGACAGAGTATATTACATTGGTCAGTTTTGTAGTTTGAAAGTTAGATACTCAAGCTTTCAAACAACCTATTCAGTCCATCTTCAACCCCTCAAACCATTTCTGGGGAGGGACAATCAGAGCTGCCACTCAATTCACACAGCACCAAACTATGTGCAGAGATATTTCATATAAACAGATATAGGCTGCATGTGGTTGCTGCACCTTGTGTTTAGTTGTTAAACGTTACCCATAACAATGTGTCTTACCGTGCCAACCAGTGGGAAGAGAAAGCCCGCGCCCACACTGGCCCGGATGGCCCTGATTGGGACGAGGAAGCCGCTGGGAACGCCCTTCTTGTCTGCCTCGTGCGACAGAGACAGAGGCGGTCTTTGCCATGCACATTGGGAGGTCGCCAAAACCCTGCAGGCAACGGCACACCCAGACATTCATGAACACGTGAAGCTATTTCTCCAACAAGGCCTGCGGAAACGTTCGACGGAGGATGGTTTAGTAAAGAGGGAGGACAAAACTGTACAACTCACTTGCTTTGTGTAGACCTCCACCTTGTGTTGAGCCTCGGGAAGGAGCTCGATGTTAGATATTTTGGGCAATCACTCGGATCTTGTCTGTGATAGATAACTGTGGCAAAAAACAACAACAAAAACACTTAGTAATAGTAATCGAGTAAAAGGACTGACAAGTAAATAAATACGGAGCAGAGGGGCTTTAGTGGCCGTGAACTGATTTGCAATTATTATGATTAACTTGCACGGATTTGAGGTAATGTGGTGATTGTGGCTCAATTTGCCATCCATCCATTTTCTTCCACTTTATCCATTTCTGGGTCGGGGGGGTGGCCAGAGATGCCACCCAGTACACAGAGCACCAGCCCCACACTGATCCTCCTGCAGGTGCTGAGTCCACAGGAGCTGAGATCTTTCAGCGGAGGCTACACAATTTACCTATTTTCAAATTTACCTTTTTATTTTTATTTTATTTTATTTTATTTTTTAAAATAGGCACAATTTACCTATTTTTAAAAATACATTTTCTCAAGAAGACAATCGTGTCATTTTATTTTTTTCTAATCTAAATGTAACCTAAAAAGTAATTTGACAAAGTGAATATGGAAAAATCTGTGTACTGGGTGCAGCTCTGACTGCCACCCCCTGACCCAGACATGGATTAAGGGGAAGAAAATGGATGGATGGAAGAAATGGAAAAAAATGATTGGTCTGTCAGTATTGCTCTAAACATCATTAGAAACCTTCTTTACCTTTAGTTTTTATTTATTTGGATTTGATAAAAGCGGGCCTAATTTGTTCAGAACATTCTACCAGAAAATAATATCCAAACTCAAATTATATAAAAGCTTATAAAAATTACATACTTTCATTTTATTTTTCTCAACAGAAAAAAACACTTTTATACAACCCCATGACCAGTTATTAATATTTAAGTTTAGCTCCTGACCAACGGGAGTTTGACCCCAGAGACTATCCTGGTAAAAGCAAAATAAAATGTTATCACCTTTCAGTCGTAGAGGAATTTGAAGTTACTGGGAGCCTCTGACGCTTTCTGAACAGCTCCAGCGCCACCTTCTGCCCAGTTCCGGCAGCACACGGCGTCAAAGGCTCCAGCAGATTTGATCACGTTGCAAACCAAGTCGAGTTCAGTCAGTCCTGCAAAAGGCTTAAATGATGAGGTCTCTGGATATTTAGGTAAAAAAGGGGGGGAGTTCATGTTGCTGCAGCCATTCTCCAGAAGTCAAGTTTTTATTTTTATTTTTTATTTCTATTATCGTGTCGATACCATACATATGTTCATCACATCATGTACACAACATTGTTTCTCTTATTTTTACACTTTTTTTTCCTTGTGTGTCCCTTGTGCACCAAAATAATCCAAAGTAAAATTAAATAAAAATACATAAATTATATTAAAATAACTTTGCCTAGGTTAGATGAAGGAAATGGTCGTGGAGTTTCAGACTTTCTTTAAATACCACCTGGCTATTTCATTTTTTATTTTCTTTTAGATTACTATTCTTATATTGATAACGAGTTACTGCAGTGACAATAACAAAGATCCTTCATTCCATGCTTTTGTGAACGTTCTTTTCGCCCTGTTTCCATTTACCCCGAACTATTGATATTATATTTCTATTGTCTCTGGTACAAACCTGCTCATATTCTTTTTGTTTATGTTGTAATCCTGCAGTTATTTTTTGATACCAAGTTCAAAAAACAAAAACACATCATCTAAATGTGGGGTATACCCAGTTTCACTGCTGTGCCTGGATTTGCATCAGTGCAAGTATGTGAGGAGGTGACCAGTGCCATGAAGAGGGAGGGTGTGACCGGAGGCACAGATGTGGGCAGCTCTGCCAACACTCACATGTGCTTCAGATCAAGAAGCCCTAGTTTTGTTTCTGACTTATGGTCCCCAGTACAATGTGGGAACCAGTTATACAGGAAGTGTGTAACAGAGTGGTATATTGACATCAACAGTGCCATACCTGCACTACATGCATTTACTAGACAGACACAGTAGAGAGAGAGAGATTCCACCTGCATGTGAAAGCCAGATCCGGTCAGGCTTCCGAAGTGGGGAAGGGCCTGGTTAGTACTGTGATGGGAGACCTCTGAGAATATCAGGTGCCACAGTGGGACTGTTAAGTGCCAAACTGATACTTCACCGACATTGCCTAGAATGAGTCCAGTGTGTAGTGGTCAGAGGGTCCCATGGTACATACTAATTGCCTCGCTTCTGTCCGTCTTCCATAGGGCAGCTGTGGCTACAGTGCATGGGGAGAATGTAGTACTATACAAAACCAATGTATTATCATATGAGCCAGAGCGGGAGCCAGAGCGGGAGCCAGAGCGGGAGCCTAGAGCGGGAGCCAGAGCGGGAGCCAGAGCGGGAGCCAGAGCGGGAGCCAGAGCGGGAGCCGGAGGAGGTGCTGGGGAGATGGTGGGTGTTAAGAGCTTCAGGAAGCGCTGCTTGTCAGGAAGTGGCTGCCTTTTAAAGACCTTATGAAGGGTTTGATTGATTTAGTAATGCAGTTTTAATACCATTTTTCTTTAGAAGAGAACTACTAAAAGTTTCAAAATAAATAGTTTTTTTTTTTTTTTTCTGATCCCCACAAATCGACACAAGCCCATAGCAACGTCCTTCTTGATTCATGGTGACAAAGAGCTTGACAATCCAGAAAATCACATTTATTTTCCAAAAAAGGAGTGCAGATAAGACGTCTACCTCACACCTTGATGTTATTCATCAAACTGAAATTTTCAGTGTGGAACTAATAAAGGCATTCATTCATTCAAATAAGTATTCAGTCTATGGTGCTCCTCCACATTAAAAGACACAACACAAGAAAAAACTATTCCTAACAAGATCAAAGTGTTCTGCATAACAGTCAAACAAAAACCAAAGCAAGAACAACAACAACCAACAGAGAGATTATGACTCCAACAGCGATAAGTAATCCTCTGCTCTTTAGAGGTGTCTTGTATTTCACCTTCTCCATCACTTCTTGTGTTGGAGAAGCAAAAACTTTACCCTGTGGAAAAAACAACAAGCACATGAAATGCTTTACATATCAGAATATAATGATAAAATAAAGAAGAATTGAAGGATTTAAAATAAGGATTACATTAAGACGGGGTACCTAACAAGTCTTTGTTCTCAAAACAGGTTCCATTACTACTTTCCCCTGTTTCTTTGGTTTTTGTGACATCTTTAGATCATTTTTTTCAGACATAAAAGTTTCCAAGAGAGGACCACCTCCTGAGATAAAAAGTAAAATATCCAACCAACTTCAGATGAATATTACTGCATTGAAATAAATCAAAGTAGTTGTAGGAGTAGCAGGAGTAGCAGCAGTAACAGCAGCAGTAGTATCAGAGCTGTAGTAGCAGCAGTAACAGCAGTCACAGCAGAAGTAATAGTGGCAGTTATACAGGGCCTTTCACATCACAAAGCGCTTTGCAACTGCTGCAGGGCATTTGTCCTCTCACTCCACACAGTGATGGAAGTGCCAGACCTATGTACTAGCTGTAATAGCAGTAGTAACAACAGTAGTAGCAGTAGTAGAAGTAGAAGTAGCTCACACTCTGCTGCAGTCGATCAGCCCTCTCCTCCAGACAATACAAAACAATATAGGTTTCCATAGTAACCTATAATACAAATGATACATCGTTTTAAAGCGAACGACCAGACGAACCCAACTATTGGGTTCTCAGTGATTGCTCTGCTGGTTTTTATGGCACTGAAGCATGAACAGAAGCATGTGTTGTCAAAGTGAGCCGCTCCACAAACCTGACTGGTTCTTGTCCTGCTGGTAAACCATTCATTGTAAACCTGGATAGTGGGCAAAACTAATGTTTCTTAAGGAAACTCGTGCCCTCAATAAAGATTAGTTTTATAAATACCATAAACAAAACAATATGAGTTCATTAAACACAGTCTTTATTGCCACTCATTAGCTCACAGACTTACTTACACAGTGTTTGTACTAATCAGTTTTAGTTTTATAAATGCCACGAACATAACAATACAAGCTCATTCGACAGTCATATATTAGTCTTAATAAGGTCCTGAACTCTATAACTGTGTGTATAAAAAATGTGACCGAGGAAGTACAGGGCTACTTTGGCTGTACATATGAAAGGGCATATGCCAGTACTGTGGAGATGGTGGTGTATATATCTGTATCTGTATATCTTCTTCAACAACACTGCTACCAGACAATTACATGTTTTATTGGTTGCTTATTCCAAAGCCTGTGAAATTGTTTGACAAAAAAAAAGTTGTTTCAGTTGCTTTTCTGGATTCTATAATTTGTTTCTTCAGGCATGGAGGACGGTTTGCTCATTTCACCAAAGAGGGAAAACAAATAGTCAATGGGTGTCTTTCACCCATCTTCAGACTGAAGAGGAAGAGACAGCCAACTGAAGAGACAAATGTAAAAATGTGACATCACAATCATTACTGAGTGATATTCATAGTGGCCTTGAACGAACACATTAGCAACTTGCATCCTTTTTCAGCAGCGCCCTTGGACAATGATCAACCAGTGCAAGGCAAAAATTACTGAAATTGTCCAGCAAACACAGTTGGTAAGTGACTGACATTATAAGCCATTACATAAAGTGCACATGTTATGATTTTAATGTTGATACTGATGATAATGTTATGGAATAACAAATGCTAGAACAATTGTGAGTTACTGGAGGATCGTGAAAAGCCACTCCATAATTATTAACAACCGTTATTTCAAAATTATTTGTGAGAAATGTATTTTTAAATTTTAGAAAGCGGTAAAAGAAACACAGTGGGTGCAGCAACTTGAGTGTGCTGACGATCAAGTGCATGAAGGGGAGCAGCTCAATTAGGGAAGGTAAACATATCAGCATGAAGATATACTTAGTAAGATTTCAAAGTGAAAGGCTTTCTCAATAATTTTGTTGTTGTTGTCATTTTAGTCATACTGTCAATATGGCTATTACTATCAATAATGACCATCTCCATCCTCTAATATAACTATTCTTTTTAAGGCTATCTTAACTGGGCCTTGTTTCAACTTGGGAATCCAGGAGGGAGAGGCCAACCCTTTACTTTGAGGACGAGCAACTGGATGAGGTTGTCTCCTTCTTGTTTGCCGTCATCAGGGAGACCCCAAGAGCAAGACAGCAGAACGATTGGATTGACGTCGTCATGATTGTGCTCGTACCGTAAGTATAGCATGATTAACATAATTTTTGTTTTACATTAGTAGGCCCGAGCGCCACCAGGCTGGCACAGGGACTATTTTAATGAAAGTGTGCATTAAACAAACACTGATCCCCCTCAAACATAAACATCTCATGGTACATGTTTCCTGGATGTACACTACTAAAAATAAGTCTGCATTGCAACATTGTTGATGTACAGAGACCATAGAGTCATAAGTGCAAGTCACTGACAATTTATTAAACAGGACACAATACCTTTTAGGGCTGCATTTGGTTTTGTGAATTGTTGTTGTTGAATGTAACACATTTCACTCTTATCTAGGTGACAGTTCACACCGAGGCATTTCACCTCCTTTGCAAGAGGAAATTGGAAGATTCAAAAAGGGGCCAAAGTATGAACCATGGTAAGATTATTTTAAATATTGATGGAAATATTTCAATGTTTACTGCAACATCTAATCTGTGATTGTTCTTTTTGGACAGTGAGCTTAAACTGATTGTGGATGCCCTGGTGAGACATTTACCGGAGGAGGCAGCAGGGAAGCTGAAAGCATTTGAAGAAAGATGGAGATTAGCGCTCTCTTCTGAAGCCTTTCTCTCAAGATTAAAATAAAAAAATAAAAAATGGGTTTCTATTTGTTTTGTGTAGAACTTATTCAGTGTCTACATTTCAGAGCCATTCACATAACACAAATTCATAAAAAAGCATGTACATAAAATTCCAGATAACAATAAGATGTTCTTGATGTTTAATCTCTCTCTTCTACATATTTGACAAAACACAATAATAATGAATGTCTGCTTGTCCCAAAATGCCAAAGCAGGGAGCTGGGCACAAAAAATGTTATGGCATGTTCTCTTTATGATCAGTAATGTGGAGACCATGGGTGTGGGAGTGTGTGGTGGTGGTGGTGTAATAATAGCTTTAACTTGTAATGTGTTTTTCAATCCTGTGTTGACAAGTTTCTCAAAACCACACACTGTAGTCTTTATTAATTTATTCCACACAGTGTGTCACAGCTGGGTTGGAGGATGCCAGGCTGCTAATCTGTGCTATTGGCCACCACCAAGCAGTCTCTCACTATGTCCACACATGTGGGTGAAGTGCATTGCTCAAGAACATACCAGACTGCACTTGGGGCAGCCAGGATTTGAGCCACCAACCATAGGCCCCTTTTATAAATGAATGTACACATTAGACATCAGCACTGACATTATTTGACTCTTAACTTAACTTTTGTCCGGAGCCGCTTCAAATCCCTATTGATTGTCTGAAGTGGTCTGAAGTAATGGCAGCTTTTGTAGGCAAATTTACTACTTTGATATTTACAAAATTCGTCCATTTTCCCCCAATAAATAATGATGATAATGACATGCACCATAAATTCATTATTGGGCATAGATAGTAGGTACTACTACTCATACCCGTATTATAATAGATCCTTGCTCATACCCCTTTAAGAAACGTGGAGTGGGCGTGTCGTGTAGTAGGCGTGTCGTGTAGTGACGTCACTACACGACACGCCTACTACACGACACGCCTCCGTACTGCAGGCCGCAGACAGATACACTTGTTTAAAGCGGCTTCCTCTCACTCTCTGTCTCTCTCTCTCAGCTGGCTTCTGGGCACCTGGTGACGTGCTCGGACTGCCGCCATCAGCCTGGGACCTGACTGTCCAGCCTCCACGCCACGCCATTGTCCTGTTTCATTTACACGCACTACAACACCACATTTGCACAACACAAGGTTGTCTTACTGATTCTCATATGCAGCACCTTGCACCCCACAGCATACGACTCACTTACACTGATTACATGCAGATTCCTTTATTATTATTTACAATAAATGCCCCACAGAGGGTTTTAAACTGCTCCGGTTGTCGTGTCCTCCCTCTCTTGTTATGGTCTCACGAGTCGGGCCGTAACACTCATAAACATGTGCGGTTCTGGTCGGATCTGGATCTATGGAGGATGCAGTGAAAGACTTTTATAAATTGTATTTCTGATTCCAAATGTCTAGATGGTGGTTTGAAGGAAAAGGTAGATCCTTGTTTTAATGGACTTGATGATCCATTTTCAAATCTGAAAACATGAAGGAAAAGACAGATGATGTTTTGAGAGAAAGTGGGAAATTGTGGAGCCAGTTGAATATGTAGCAGGAGTGCGCCCAGATGTGCACAGACACTAAACTACTGGAATATAGTCTCAAGTGCATATTGTAGAAAAAACTGTTTAGGTACCAATTTTGGGAACTTCATAGTTGCCCCCCCCCCCCCCCATGTGCATTACCAAAAAATAAAAATGATATAAAACAAAATTATGTCTGTATATTATATTCAACTTTTTTATTTAAAACTCTAGGGTTCACCATTGACTTAACATATTACCAACTTTTACCTTTACAATTAAAGAAAGTGACAAAGTGAGTGGTCGTTGGTTTGAGCCCACGACGAGACCTACTTCACGACTCCCGCTGATGTCTGCTGTCATTGTGTCCTTGAGCAAGACACCTACTGTAACCCCACTTTGCCTGAAGCCCCCGCTGAAAGATCAAGGCTCCAGTGGACTCACCCCCTGCAGGAGGATCAGAGAGGGGCTGGTGCTCTGTGGACTGGGAGCAGCTCTGACTGACCCAGAAATGGATTAAGGGGAAGAAAATGGATGGATGGACTAACGGTGAAGAATCGTTGGTGCATTGACAGTTTCATCATCGGTCATTAATTTTTCCAGATTTACTTCTGAAATTTTGTTTTTAAAGATGCAGTAAGCTAAGTTAGCTTAGCCGTAGCACCAACTCGAAACCACTCCCCCCGCCCCTCGCCTCTCCACCAAACCAAACATCCAGCCTTATCTTTTCTTCTCACAACAGGAGAGTGGGCGGCAAACATGAAATTGGCATTTTGTGTTCAGCCCTTTTGGGTTTTAGAAAATCTGATTACTCCGGTGCACTCACGAGAAACAGGAAGAAGGTGAAGGCGGTAAACACATCCCATTGGTTCGTTGAGGATGAACGAATCCCATTGGTTCATTTTTATCGGTCCGCTCCAAAATATTTTTTTACTCTTTTTTGGAGACTATAGGAATCTGGTCAATTCCATTACTATTTGAAAACTCATGAAAACTTCACTACTTTTAGGGTTTAGGGATGTTTTCCCACAATATAAAAAAATATTTATATGCATCCGGAAAAAGTCACTGACTGCATCTTTAAGTGGTGATAGTTTTTTAGCGGGCATTTTCCCCAAGGAAGGAAAAAATTTCTGATCACCAACTTCATCTCTGGTCTTAGTGGGAAAGAAGTTAGCGAATACGATTATGGGCCCCAGTCTACATAAAAATTAGGATAAGATGCAAATATGTGATCCAGCAGAAGTGGCTATTTTAATGTGTAATCACTGAGCTCTGCCAAACAGAGACTCCTGTGCCTGGCAAGTGGGCCCAGAATGAAGATGAACGCATAACGGTCATAAAGGAGATAAGGAGCCCTCGCCTCAACCCCCTCAATAACGAACAGCAAAAACCCCGAGCACGCTGGGACCGCAACTGTCACGACTCACGAGGCGACTCACGAGGCGACTCACGAGGCGACTCTAGAGGCAGGGCAAGGACACCGCCTGCAGTGCAAGTGCCCTTTGGGAAGCAGTGGTAGTTAAAGGGGACCACCCGTGTAGTGAACTTTTAGCAATTTTACATTTTTCATCTGTTTTTAGGTTACCATAGCTTTTATCAAACTTTTTAGATCAACTGTGTTTATTTGGCCTTTTCTTTTACTGTTTTTGTTTAACTTTTTATACATAGCATTTTATTATTGAACGGTCTGCGTGTGTCCTCCTTGGCAACACCTCAAGTGCTCTCACCCAATTTAACCCTTCATCTTTCAGGAATATCTGGTCCAAACAAATTCCATTCCACCTTAGTCTCTATAGAAACACACCCTTGTTGCAATTATATAATAAAACTAACTTTCAATTTCATCGGCGGTTGAATTCCTTGACTCTTTATAACACACAGCGATAATGTTTCTTTGTTTTGTTCAGCATTTTGAGCCTTCCACAAAAAGTGAACCACTTTATAGCGAGGGACCACTGTACACACAGAAATGTAAAATGAGATATGATAAAACAATGTGTTGAGATAAAGCGTTTGTGTGGTGCGTTCAGGGTCCTTAAACTGTTGTGATTTAGGGCTGTACAAAAATACATTGAAATTGAGTTGGGTCATTTCAGAGCAGCAAACAGTGGATGTGTTTCCCTACTGTAAAGAAAAGTCCCTGAGGAAAGGTTTGACACAGGCTTTCATACTGGCTTCCTTTTAAACACACACGCAGACACACACACACAAACACACACATACACGGATCCGCTGATACACTTTGAACACAAGATGGCGCTTTTGTTTAGCTCTTCTTCTATAAAACATGCTCTTCACGAAGGATTTGAAACCATGGACGTGTTGGGAAGTAACCAGTAACAGAGGGAGGAAAACACAAAATCCACTTTAATGATGAAGAATACTGTATAAGTAACTGAATATGACGATGACAATGGATCCAGCATTACAGTGATAAAGACTGGAATTGTACAGGCCACTTCATTCTATCAATAAGTTATCTTTAAATGGTGTTTTTTTATTTCCAGTTCTGTAATGTCTTCTGGGTAAATAGACCACTTCAGTGCAATACCAGTTTCACTGTTGTTCCTGGATTTGCATCAGTGCAAGTATGTGAGGAGGTGACCAGTGCCATGAAGAGGGAGGGTGTGACCGGAGGCACAGATGTGGGCGGATCTGCCAACACTCACATGTGCTTCAGATCAAGAAGCCCTAGTTTTGTTTCTGACTTATGGTTTGTTTTCAATCAGTACAATGTGGGAACCAGTTATACAGTTTGTAACAGAGTGGTATATTGACAACAGTGCCATACCTGCACTACATGCATTTACTAGACAGACACAGTAGAGAGAGAGAGATTCCACCTGCATGTGAAAGCCAGATCCGGTCAGGCTTCCGAAGTGGGGAAGGGCCTGGTTAGTACTGTGATGGGAGACCTCTGAGAATATCAGGTGCCACAGTGGGACTGTTAAGTGCCAAACTGATACTTCACCGACATTGCCTAGAATGAGTCCAGTGTGTAGTGGTCAGAGGGTCCAATGGTACATACTAATTGCCTCGCTTCTGTCAGTTTGCCACAGGGCAGCTGTGGCTACAGTAGTAGTTTATCACTCCTGTGTATGGGGAGAATGTAGTACTATACAAAACCAATGCATTATCATTATCATGGTTATAGATAAATAGATAGATAGATAGTTCCTGTTTCTGATTCTGTTCC